TTGTTTTTCAAAAGGGTCCCTCTCTACATGTTTTAGAGCTGCAGTCTGGGTGACCATCTCACCTGGTCAGTGATTTAGTGTGAGTGTTCATGACATTCAGGGCCTCTTTAAAACCTCCATTCTGGATCAGACAGACGATTTTACAACGCAGGGCTATCACATCGTCCTTATTTTCATGAAGAACTGCAAACAGTAAGAAAGAAAAAGAAATAGTAAATATAAGATCAACAAGATATATCATTGTGAAACCTCAAAAATTGATTTTTACATTGATATCATACAATTCTCATTGCAAAAAAAAAAAACTGCACAGAATAAAATAATATTATAGAATAAACTAAACATTTAAAAAACTAGTACTTGTATATCTTTAAAGTTAAATATAAAATTAAGTCATTTGAAAGCACGTTTACATTTATTCCAACCCCTTAGGACACGTAATCACTAAGCACAGACCCCTCAAACCTCCAGAAAGTCTTGAAGACTGCCAACACACTCTTTAAGAGCTTCTCAAGAGTTGTATTATTAAAGTAAACATCCCATTTGTCTTAATAAAATATGAAATTTGTGTACAACACTGACATTAGCGAATCTACTGCACTGCAGGTTAGATACATGCTACGAGAGACATGGAGCTAAACAGTGTTTTTATCCACAGTGAGAGAAATCTGGACAAAGATATGATTGATATGTTTTTATTTTACTTTTGTTGACAGCTTTCAGGGCTCTAGTAAAGTCGCCGTTCTGTCCGCAGCGGTTGATTTCGGTCCAGAGAGCAGAAACTGGCCCCGATCCGCTCGCCATCTTCAGCCATATGAGCGGAACCAGCGACCGGGGCAGAATAAAAGTCCCACAGTAACCCAAAGACACAATAAAAGTCCGCGATTTAAAGCGTAAACACAAGGACAGAATAAAAGCTAAATTTGAAAGAAATGTCCCATAAAACATGAAACTTTAACAGTATTTTTTGAAATCAACTGACTTTTTTCTTTTTGTTTTAGATTTTTATATAAAAAAAATTCACATCATTATCCTTGCATATGTTTAATTACCAAAAGTGATTTAAAAGGATGTGAACATACGAGAGAAATTTCTGAGGATATTTTAGGGAAGATTTCAGTAAAGTGAAATGGTAATAATTAGTATTTTATTACTATTACAAAAGTTTAAAATAATGGAATTGATCAATTTAACAGTACTAAATTATTAAGCACCCTAATAAATCTTTGAGGACTACACTACCTGGTACTTAGCAAACATATTGCTTAAATTAAAAACACATTTAAAAAAAACTTAGAGGTAGTATTTTTTTTTCAATGCTTCAAAACATCTTATTGTCCCTTTTTCAGCCTGGAGAGTGTTACTTTTTTACACACATCCTGATAAACACAGAAAAATATATTATTGAAAACAACTTCTATTCTTGTCTCTGTGAACGGAACCCTATCTGAGGTTTTAAAAAATAACGCCATAAATAAAGCCTTAAAGGATACAGTATAAATTGACCACAGTGGAGGCGCATTTAAGTTTCATCATGGGATGTGAATCATAGCATCCTCATATTGTTTGGACACTAGGAACTAATGCTGGTCCAGTTAGAAAGAAAGACTTCCATATTTTTACTAAAGCAGAGGCGTATGACGAGTCAATTTGGGACCCAGGCCTATATTACAGGTCAAAGGCATGTCACTGAGAGGATGCTAAAATGAAACCAAAACCATAAGAAGAAAAACATAAAACTGATGAAATATAATAGAAACAACTGATAAATCCAATAAATGTATTAAACTGCACTTTAATTTTTTCACTTCAACCTATTAAAAAGCATACTTAATGCATGTAAATTCCACTTGCAGTCTATAGATTCCCCCACTGAATGTGACTAGAATTACTTAGCCTATCTTTCTCTATGAATAAACCATAAGATTATGGTTAAAACACAGATAAATATTTCTAGTGCTCTTTCATCATATCTGCAAAAGATCAGCGACCTGAAATGAGAAACTGACTTGTCAGATTCTAACGCGGTATTTTTGTGGTCAGGTTATGTAGGTCATCAACTGATGATCACCAAATATTTCAGACCACTTTGCTTACAGATATCAGTTCATTCTACATTCCTGCAGCTCTACATTGGTTTTCCATTGTGCCTTTTCTAGAAAGCCATCACTTGGCACCAGTTCTTGATATATTGACAATTGATTTATTGACGATAATTGACTGATTTCTTTTGGTGCTCCATGAACTAAATTATTTATTGCGTTAATTGTATAAAATCCATTATATTCTCTGTTATATCATTTAAAACAGTTCTCCCTAAAATGCTCATATATAGGAATTGTTGGCTTACCTCCTGTTTTAACAATTTGCACCACAAGAGGGCAATAAAAAGCAGTTCGCATTTTGACTTAGATGTTTGTCATAAGAGCACAACTGTCACTTTAGCTAGACTTAATCAAAGACTTCAGATAAAGCAAGACGAGGCATTCATGTTACTAAAATGTCAGAAAGTAATACATGCAATATGGAGGGATAAGTCCCACCTTCTAAATTAAAGAGCCAATCGCCAATTGGTAAAGTCACGGCGTCACTGCAGCAGCTGTTAGAAGCTCTGGTTGCCATGAAAATATAAGCCTGAAATATAGCCTAAGCTTTTTAAGGCTATTTGAGAAAAAGGAACAATATGGGGCAGTTGATGTCAGATGATGTTGCTGATTTGAAATATGATACTTAAACATGAATATGGCAAGCAGTTTTTAAGATTTCCCTATTAAAATAGTCGAAGGCATTTTAAATATGGCAGCCAACTAAACAGACTTTTCTTTAAATGGACCTTTGACTTCATTCATTACAACTAGAGTCTGAAATGAGCTGTTTTACTGAGGGACAATATTTGCTCTACTGGAAGTGATTTGGATAATGAGGGTACATTTGAACCATATACCAGTAAAACACACAGTGTGCCATATATGTCAAATACTTAGGGTTATTAATTGAAATAAATTCTTAATTGTATTAATACTGTGCTTGTATGCATTTTAAATAAATGTCCAGTACCTTATATTATACAGCTCTCTAGTGTATAATCTACACTCAACCCACATTAAATCCATAAATCTAAGTCTAGAACAGATCATCATGAAATATATCAAAGGTTAGCTTTCAGTATGTCATTGGTAGTTCTGCTTATTACGCAGATGTTCAGATGTTTCAGTCAAAGCAGTTAGTAATCAGTCTGGGCCCTTTTCCAATATCTTGACTATGACATGTTTTTGACACATCTTCCGGCGTTAGTGCACATGTCGACATGTTAAAAAAGAAAATGCCAAGGAACTGTTTCAACTTCAAAGCGTAACGTTGTTTATAATAACTGGCTTGGATTTCAAGAAAACGTCTTGTTGGTTTGACTTCCACTGGTTGTGCTGTTGGCCATTAAAGCCAAAAAACATCTTGTCTTATAGCTCGACAATGACTGCTGACTAAGTGGAATAAGTACTCCTACATAATGTATATAAATTTAGATTAAAGATAATATCTGCAACCCATCCAACAGAGTTGCTTGTCTGTATTGTACCACTGAGTAAGCTATGAACCACAGTGTGTCAAACCAACACCTACACTGCACTTTGCATGTATGCCATTACACACCAATCCCTGAGCATCTAGACTCGGCGTGGTCTTGCAAAACATCCGTTGGCCATTATTGCATGTGCAAATTAGCTACATTATTAAGGATAAAAAAAAACCTGAGAACAGATTCAGGATTCTGTCTGCATGGAAACAGAGGTTAGGGGAATGATATCGGTAACGTCATGTTCTGATAGAGGTATTTCCAGGCATCAATATTAGTGTGTGGGCTTTGAGGTAGGATGTCTTGCTCTTTTGCTCACCAAAGGACTCCACCGTCAAAAACACCACAGATGTTTCCACTGAGCTGATAAAAATTAAATAATACAGGGATCCACTGCTCATTTATGCATTAAAATAAACACTGAAAATTAACTCTCCAATGGGCCAAAGTGACAGTAATGTATTTTTGAAAAAACAAAACAAAACATAATTTCATAAATTGAAGCATTGTGCATAAATTAAATAATTAATATCCGAATATCCGAATAAATACGACAGATATGGCCTAAAAAAAAAATGTGGGTTTGTTTTGGCAACCAATTACACTGTAGTCCCCTCTGAAGTAGTTCAAAATCTAAGTATGTGACTCATGCAAAGTTTGTCTCCTCTTCGTTTGATGTCAACATTGCATTTTTTTTGTGGTTAATAAAGGTCTTCTATTTTTAGAGCATGAAAAACAGGCCTATAGCTTTCCTGTTGCACACACACACAGACACACACACACACACACACACACAGAGTGTTGAGTCATACATATCTCTGGAAAACTCTGTTTTCAGAGTAACTGTTTAAAAACCGCTTTGTTGTCCCTAAACGCTCAACCCGTTTAATGCTACTTCCTGGAGACCTTCAAGGTCCATCACTTTCACTTTTAGTCACAGGTTGTTGTACTGGGGTGCCACTAATGGAAAAAAAGAATTTTGTGGTTGAGCTTTTACAAGAAAATTATTGTGTATAAGAAACTTCTTCCAGCAGTTTCCAGTAGTATCTAACATGTGAAAAAGATAGATCTATTTTTCGAACTGATATGACTTCTAAAATGAGTTTTTATTTCATTTTCATCTGAGGCCACCAGTTCCTCTAACCTTTCACTTACTGCGTAACATTGTGCAAGTAAAATAGGATGCAAATTAAATTTAATCTTAACTTTAAAACACATTCCCGCGGTTTCACTGACAAGGCTTAAGCCTAGTCCCAGACTAAAATGTTAGCATGAGCTGTTGTAACTGAAACAAACTTGCACTGACTGATCTTAAAATATATCAGTGCCTTTGTTTTGTCTCGAGACACACACCAGTAATTATATTTTGTAAGGCACGTTTATAAAAATTACTATTTTTTTCTTTCTTTCTATCTATCTATCTATCTATCAATCATACTGTCAAGTGTGTGTGATTGTGCGTCAGAGTCAGTTGTGTTGTGAATAGGTCAGGGGTAAGTGCCCCGGCGTGTGTGCATATGAATTAGCATGTGTTTGTGTTTGTTTGAAGATAAAATGTTAAAATTTAGCGTTTTAGTGCCCAGTTATGAAAAATGAGCATCAATACAAGTTTGTTTTCATTGTATAGTTCAGCTAGATTAGGCGTGCTAGCAGCGTGACTAACGTTAGCGTCTTAATCGGCGCTATTTTACTTATATTCCTTTTTATTTCTCACTAACCTGTCACATGCTATTACTGTGTTTAACGTTATATGACTCCAGTTTAAATGAGTTTGATGGAATTTAAACGTCGTAGAACTGGAGAGTCACGCGCTCTTCTTTTATGTTTAACGTTAATTATCAGCGTTCTAAAAAACAGCAGCGTCATTCTTAAAACCATCAGGAATTATACAGACCTGCTTGATATTACATCATTTACATGATTTGTGATGAGAATTTTCCAGTAAACACTGCCTGTACATGTTTATTTTTCTTTCTAATAATTGCTATCTAACTTTATTGTGTTGTATTTCTGTCTCTAAAGCTGTTAGATGAAGATGATGATGAGGGGTTCATCCTGGAGAGGGTCCAGCATGGCCCACAACCACTGGACAAGCATCTCATCCCATCCACCTTTCTCAGACTTAAGTGACATCAACAACAACAAATGTCTTCCTGGACAATCATTGAGCTCCTCTAACAAAATCAGTTAAGTGTTATGGCTTTATGTTTTGTTTTAGTCTACCTTTTTTTTCTCTCGACAGACTGACAGTTGCTTTTTTAGGACTAAAATTCAGAAAAAAGGCCATTTAAGAGTGTTAAAAATGAATTTCCCTTGACAAATGACTTTTTGTCTTTTAAACTCAACATGAAATGACATTTGCATTTTACTTGCATAGTGTGTTGTATTTCTGTAAGAGTGAAGGGTTAGAGGAATTGGTGGCCTCAGACGAAAATGAAAGTAATTTAGGCCAAGACATGTTTTTATTTGGAAAACTGCACACCAATGAATCAAATACACCAGGAACATGCACTAAGATGCATTTGTTGCATTAACAGGCATTTGTTGTTTAGACTTAGTGATGTTGTTATCAGCTTCAGAATGTATTTACAGTCACTCATGGGTTAAATCATGTTATCTCAATAACGTTCACTGCCACTTTTGTCTCCTTTGCAGATTCCAAACCGAAAACCCTTCCCCGTGAACATATTGACAGATATAAGCGAGGAGATACGCACCCAGTGTCGGCGTTGTACCAGCTTTCTCAGGTTCTGCAGTTTCAACTGGATATGAAAGAGACTGTTACCACCGGTAAGTGATATCCCTCCTGATTTTATGTAATGCATTGTCCAGTTCATTCGTGCATTCAACATTTGTTTCCTTTGTGTCTGAGCAGCAGGAATAACGGGGTTTTACTTTGCGTTCTGTGCTGTGATTGATGGAGTTCAGTATAAGACGGGAATGGGCATCACAAAGAAAGAAGCCAGGGCCAAAGCAGCTGAACTGGCCCTTGAAGAGCTCATTGCAAGTCTAGAAAATGATGGGATTCCTTCAGATGTTTCTGGTAATGATCAAAAGATGATTTTAGACCTCTTACTACCAGCTAGAAAACAGAAATTCATATTATTCTGATTGAACTGATTAAATTTGAGCACGGTGCAAGTCAGATAAAAGCTTCTGCCAAATTCAGAAATGCATGGTATATTATTCATAAAGAATCATGATTGAATGAATGAATAAATAAATAAATATATATATATGTATATATACACACACACACACATTTATATTTAGTCACTCATATATATGCATACTACTTTGGGGTCGGTAAAAAAAAAAAAGAAACAAATTAATAATTTATTCAACAAGCCTATATTAAATTCAACAAAAGTAAAATAGTAAATACTTGTACATGGTTATCAGATTTACATTTAAAATAAAGATTCACTTTTCATTCATCATTTAATCCTGAACAAAAAAAGTGTCACTGTTTCCTCAAAAACATGAAGCAGTACAACTGTTTTCAACATTGATAATAAGAAATGTTTCTTATGCAGCAACTCAACATATTAGAATGATTTCTGAAGGATCATGTGACACTGAAAGTGGAGTAATGATGCTGAAAATTTGGCTTTGATTACAGCAACAAATGACATATTAAGATATATTGTAATAGAAAATATTAAAAGTCAATTTAAGTCAATCATCAATTTGAGTCAATCATCAATTTAAAGTTATTTTAAATTGTAATAATATTTCACAATATTACTGTTTTTACTGTATTTTTGATCAAATAAATGCAGACTTGAGCAGAAGACGCTTCTTTCAAAAACATTTTTAAAAAATCATATATATCTTATTTATATAAAAATCTATATTTTTTATATATATCAAATTTATTTTTAACGTAATTTTGGCCATTATCAATTGCCAATGATTAGATATTTATATTGTTTTTAATAAAACAAAAGGTGAAACACCTGGCTTCAGCTATGTGGTTTAACTCTAGATTGCTACTATATTGTTTATTCATCAATGGTTTTGTAAGCTTTCTTGCAAAAAAAATAGGAAGATATCGTGTGACCTTCTGGTTGACACTTTCCATAGAATCAATACAAGCAGTTAGTCAGCCGTTCCATTTTTAGTGTAACTATGCAAACTTCGAAATTCAATGTGAAAGTTTCCCCAGATGAAAGAGAACATCCTCGCTGTTCTCCCTCCCATCGAAACAGACCCACAGTCACTCACTGAAACCGTGGTGAAGCTTTTTCCTGTTTGAGGTGGGGGTGCAGCATTTGTTTTTAATGCAAAAAAACAACACCACCACATTCACACATTGGGGTGGTGCTGCAATCTTATTTATTGCATTGCATCTTTTTAGTCTTTTTCTATTGCAATTGCATAAAGCCAGCAAACATTTTATTACTTGTATTTTATATTTTACTTGTTGATTTGAACAAACCCTTAACCCTAATAGTTAAACCTTGAGTGCAAAACGCTTGAGTGCATAAGTCCTGCACCGTTTGATCTTGGTTGGACTTGTGCCAATGGAATCATCTACTGTATCAATACCATCCTGTAAACTGCAGATAATACAGTAAAACTGTTTAGAAGATCTTAGCAAATGCCCATGCATTGCTTTGGACCACAAAGCTGCAAGTCTTACTCACATTCACTTTACTTTTGTATGTGCTTTTGTTTTTTTCAGCGGGACCTCCTCCTCTGCCAGTAAGAGAGAAGGACTCAACAATCCCAGAAGTCCATTCTGGAAGAGCTGTAATTGGTAAATTAGTTTTTCAAGTCTGGATGTGTTTAATAGCCCAATTAAGAACAACTATATTCAAAGCGCAAATGTTTTAGCCATAATAAACTCTGACGTCAGAGCAACTAATAATGTCGGATTTGGAAATATCTGCGAATGTGAATAACAATTTCATTCTGGTTGGTTTAACGCAGAAAGAAAGAATCCCATTAAGGATCAGGTACCCAATGTGGTGATGGAGATGTTCACCAAGCTAATGGACAGTTACCCAGAATTCTCTGGCTGTGGCGGAACAGTGGCTGCATTTGTCATGCTGTCTCGTAAGTCAGACGTACAGGATGTCAGACCACAGTTTTTCACTGTGGTATTAGTATTCATAAGTCATGTGACATTTAAGGTGTTCTTTGTCACCTAATAATCTATCCTGCACAGAATCTGCATCGTCAGAGCTTTCGGGTGAACCTCAAAAAAATAGGTCAACAGCATATTTAAGCTCATATTTACTCCAGAATCAAAATAAATTTTTAAAGCCTAGCCTATTAAAGCCTATTAACCTATTATACTTGCATTTTTGCCGTTTTCACAACAACAAAGAAATTCTTATTGCTATAATGCAAAAAAGTACTTTTTAAAATTATTTATTCAACATGGTAGTATTATTTGTTGTTCTACCTTTAATTTATGCTGATTTATTATAGTGATTTTTTTTTTTTTAAATATTAGTACAGTGATAAGAATCACCTTTGAGAAGACTTTGAGAAATCTTAAGCAAAGCATACATTATTTTGTTTATGTAAATTTGAATACTTGTCTTAAAAAAACACGTTGCAACAAAAAAGTAATTGATTTCCTTTCATTGTTCCTTACTTATCCTTACTTTAAAGGAAAATGTGACACAGGCATGTTGTTATAACCTTTATTTTTCATGAGATTCCTCTCTACAACAATGGCAACATCAAACACTTAAGGTGCAAAACACCTTGTGCATACACCGCGTGCATAATTATTAGGCACATTGATATTCTGATATTTTTTTCCAAGCACATTTTACCAATTCCAATCCACATCAATCTTAATAACTACTATTCATTTTGTATTTAATCATTTATAAGTGATATATAATTGTCCATGAAGGCTGGAAGTGAAAAACTCCTTATATTCAGGTGTGCAGAATTATTATTAGGCATGTTTTGTTTTACAGATAAAATGAGCCAAAAAAGAGGTTTATCTCAGACTGAAAAGTCAAAAATTATTAAATCCCCATGAGAAATATTCAAAACTAATGCAATACAGAAATTACAAAGTTAAGACATGACCATTGGACAGCAAAATGCTCACTGGGTCAGCGGGGTCAGAAAAAAACAGGTGGAGAAGAAAAGACACATGTTAACTGCAAAAGATTAATGTGAAAATCAGGAAACATTTAGTCTCCAGCACCAGCATTTTCCAGAACTGCAACCTTCCTGGAGTCTCCAGAATTACAAGGTGTCAGGTTCTCAGAGACTTTGCTCAGGTAAAAAATCCTACAAAATTACACTCACTTAATAAGAATAACATGCTGAAGTATTGTGAAATACATTAAGACCTTTTTTTTATAGGCTTTATCGACCGATAAGTTGTGAGTGACTCTTGAAGGATCAGCACCACATCCTCTTGTGGCAGTAAGTTTAAGGAGCTCATTTATAGTCAATCTTGCAAGACAGACTTTTCAGGATAGGAGATGGAATAAAAAGGAGCTCCTAAAAATTCTGGAAGATAAATTCTTCAAACAGTGGTGCAAGAGGATGTGGTGCTGTTCCTTCAAGAGTCACTCACAACTTATCTGTCGATAAAGCCTATAAAAAATAGTCCCGATACGTCGCGAATATGGTGTTTATACTGTTTGTAAACATTTTGCTTTACCGGCATTTTAGCACATTATTTCTGAATGTAGCCTAATAATAAAATGCGACGTGACCCTACGCGACTTATGTTTTTTTTTTTTCTCTCAAAACGCAATTTTATACGAGTAGCATTTTTTTTAACAATGCAGCAAACATTTTTAAATATCTTAAAAAATGCTTTGTCTTTAAAGCGTTAACAGATTTTTTCTTTTGTTTAGTAGCCTATAATTTGGCCAAAATCTAGAAAAGATGCTGCTGTATTGGCTGTGACTAAGTGCAGCGGGTTAAGATACCAGATATCTTCCTTTATTTTTTTTTATTTTTTTGAGTAGGAAACGCTGTTCTTTATTATTATTATTATTATTATTATTATTATTATAGGCAAAGAAAAAGTTTTTAAAATAACATTATTAACCGGTATTTTTTCTAGGCAAACCTTTTTCGGAACGATAATAATACAGAGGAACGCAGGAACAGAAACGTTAAAATATCGATTCTGCTCGGAGTGAACTGATTGGAAGTTTTTTTTTTTTTCGTTTTCAAGCCCTGATTCCAACTGTTGCTTGTTTTGGGGAGTTTCTGCCTTTGGTCTCCTCTTCAGCTGGTGAAATTCATGTTCAATCGGATTTAAATCTGGAGATTGATTTGGGCAATCTAAGACTTTCCATTTCTTTGCCCTGATAAACTCCTTGACTGTAAACTGGCAGGGTGTTTTGGGTCATTGTCCTGATGCAACATGAAGCACTTTCTGATGAGTCTGGTGGCATTTTCTTGAACATTGGTAGCCAAGATGTTTCTGTACACTTCTGCATTCATTCTGCTGCTGCCATCATACATTAAGTCATCAATAAATTTGAGAGGGCCTTTTCCAGAGACAGCCATGCATGCCCATGCCATGACACCACCTCCACATTGCTTTACAGATGAGGCTGTATGCTTAAGATCATTTGAAGTTCCCTTTTTTCTCCACACTTTTGCTTTCACTTAGATAAAGGTTAATCTTTGTCTCATCTGTCCATAAAACTCTGTTCCAAAACTCTACTGGCTCAACTTTGTGCTTTTTTGCCAACTCTAATCTTACCTTTCTATTCTTGGTGCTGGTCAGAGGTTTGCATCTTGCTGTGTAGCCTCTGTAGTTCTGTGTCAAAGTCTCCTGCGGATAGTTAATTGTCAGAGCATCACCCCAGCTTTCTGGAGGTTGTTGGTGATTTTACAGACACATATTTTAGGGTTAATTTTCACCGCTTTTATGATTTGTCTGTCATCAACTACTGTTGTTTTTCTCAGCCGATCAGGTCATTGTTGGGTTCTGATGTCACCGGTGGTTTCCAAACTGTTGCTTTCTCCATGCCCCTTGTTTTTGCTATAGCTCTAATTGACTTCCTCTGTTCTTTTAGCATCCAAATTGCTTGCTTTTCTTTCAAAGTCAGCTCCCTCGTCTTCATCCTGGTTTCTGTGTGTCATCATTGAATGCAGAAGCAGTGGATATAACTGATGACACATTTCCTGCTTTTAATATCTGAACAATTAATGCAACACAGGACACAGCTGATCACTTAGAAAGACCTGTGAGGCAACTGTTCCAATACTTATGCTCCCATCAGATAGGGGGATGAAACTCTAAAAGTGCTGATCTACTTAGTTGGTAAAATATCTATGTGTTGAAACACCCAATAATAAAATTTGACAATTTGTAGTTTTGTCTCATATTCATCTTTTAAACATATTTACGAATTTCTTGACTAAACTGCAAATAGAGCAATTTTGTCTTTGCTGTCTCAATACTTATGGAGGGCACAGTGTATATACAGGTGCATCTCAATAAATTAGAATGTTGTGGAAAAGTTCATTTATTTCAGTAATTCAACTCAAATTGTGAAACTCGTGTATTAAATAAATTCAATGCACACAGACTGAAGTAGTTTAAGTCTTTGGTTCTTTTAATTGTGATGATTTTGGCTCACATTTAACAAAAACCCACCAATTCACAACAAATTAGAATACTTCATAAGAAAAATACCAATAAAAAAAACATTTTTAGTGAAATGTTGGCCTTCTGGAAAGTATGTTCATATACTGTACATGTACTCAATACTTGGTAGGGGCTCATTTTGCTTTAATTACTGCCTCAATTCAGCGTGGCATGGAGGTGATCAGTTTGTAGCACTGCTGAGGTGGTATGGAAGCCCAGGTTTCTTTGACAGTGGCCTTCAGCTCATCTGCATTTTTTGGTCTCTTGTTTATCATTTTCCTCTTGACAATACCCCATAGATTCTCTACGGGGTTCAGGTCTGGTGAGTTTGCTGGCCAGTCAAGCACACCAACACCATGGTCATTTAACCAACTTTTGGTGCTTTTGGCAGTGGGGCAAATTCCAAATGGAAGTGATCATCCCTATGCCTTTGAAAGGCAGAGCCCTTGGAGTGGGGACTTTGGAGTGAGCAGGGCACATGCGTGCCATTATGTAGTCGTTTGGAATGCACTTGGCAAAGGGAGCGACACAATTTCCTCATTATCTTTAGCTGGGATGTTCCCGTGACAACGCAGCACGGTGTCTGTCAGCTGATTCGCTGACGTATACCGGCATAAAAAAATACATTTTATATTTTTTAAAGTTTTATATATATTAGTTTTCATGTATTATATATCATATTTTAAAAACTTTTTAAAATATAAAATGTATGTTTATTTGCAACAGTTATGCTAACAACAATAAAAAGACATATAATGCAAAATATGCCATTAAAACAGTGACATCTGCTGACGGACACTGTGCTGCATTGTCACGGGAACATCCCAGCTGAAGATAATGGCTGTATCGGAAAGCTCTAAAATGCTGCCTTCGGAGGCAGCATTCCAAGGCAGGAAGGCATCAAGGCTCGTCCGAATCCAAATTCTGCTTTACTTCCCGTCTCCGGAGGTACCTTCTTCTGATCGAATTTTGAAGGCAGCATAGATGTATCCTTCGCTGCCTTTGATATCCCACAATCCTGTGGTGTAAATGTATATTTCTGACTAACTTTTTGCACTTTTGATGTTATTTCTAGCGAGAAATCAGTATTATAGTAATTAAATATTCGTATAGTTATCACCAAAACTCGTTCTATTTTGTTGTAGATCATTAAACCGTTACGCTGCCTCGGAAGCCTGTCTGAAATCAGTTTCATGAGGTGCCTTCATGCAAAAATGCTGCCTGCAAAAGTCATTTTCTCATACGGCAGGGAGGCAGCTGCCTAAGTTTTCGGATATATATATATTAGGGGTGTAACGGTACGCGTATTCGTACCGTACGGTTCACGGGGCAAAATCTTATGTCTTTCTCAGTATTTTGTCTTGTACACATATCTAAACATCCTTAAATCAAGATACATTTACTTGAGATGTAAAATGAGGATGTGAAGTTCTGTTTTCTGAAAAATTAAACAGAATTAAGTCTGTTAGTGCTTAAAATAAGAACAAATATATGTCATTGGGAAATGACAGCTTGTTTTCCCTTTGAATTAAATGGATTTTTTTTTTGTCAATTAGCAGATATTTGTTCTTGTTTTAGTTATAAACTCGCTTCATTTTGATCAGTTTCTCACAAAACAAGACTACTTCTCTTCTGTCATTTTGCTTCTTAAGTAAATATTTCTTGATTTAGAATCTTTAGACATTTATTTTGCACTGGAAAACAAGACAAAATACAGAGTAAGAGCATCACTTGCAGTGTGTGCACTTTCAGCTCATCAAGAAAACATATTAACATATTGCATTCCATTCAATTAATTTCTTAAAATTTTGGACTTAAAAAGTCTTAAAGGGGTCATATAATGTTGCTAAAAAGAACATTATACTGTACATTATTGTTTCTCCTCTATGCCCTGCCTTTCTGAAACGCGTCGATTTTTACAAAGCTCATCGGTCTGAAAAGCGAGGTGTGCTGTGATTGGCCAGCTACCCAGTGCGTTGTGATTGGCCGAATACCTCAAGCGTGTGACGGAAATGTTACGCCCCTTACCATATTGTGATAATGCCCTGTCCGGCCGGAGCGATGATTCAAAAACATTAAAACCCATTATAAACGAGGCATTCGTTGCATCCAGTGGGGACATAATTATGGATTATAATGACTAGAGCTGTGCGATATTGAAAAAAAATTCGATATTCGATATGCGATACGATATTGCTTAAAGTGTGAAAAATCTATTTAAATTATATTTTAAAATATTTAAAAATGAAAATTATATAACCAGTTTGTTTCACATTCTTTCTTGGAAAAGAAAGAATCACTACAACTTCTGAAAGTGACCAGCAGTGTTTTAGCATTACTTAAAAAGTAATGTCACAAATCAGAAAATGAAATTTAACATCAATGTGAACATACAAACAAAAAAATGAATGACACTAATTTCATATCATTGTGACTTTGCTTTCCATACACTTTAAGTACTTCTTCATATACCACAGCAAAAACTATAGTCTGAGAAAGTTCAAACATCAAGCAATTCTCTGCTATATGCGTCGAACTAAAACTTTGAACTTTTGCAACGTTTTGATTTAAGTAGCCTATATTAAAATGTTTCAGATATCGCACGCCCTTGCGATATGCATATCACGATATTTACATTTGCGACATTTCGATATTTTCGATATATCGTGCAGCCCTAATAATGACTTAGGGGCCGTTCACTAAAACGCATGGAAAACGCTAGGCGTGCCGCTTTCTGCTTTTTTCCAAAGCGTTCGGGCGCTTGCGCTCCGGAGGAGTCTGCCGTTGCTAAGCAACCATAGCCTGCGCTCTCCATGAAGACGCGGAAGTTTCAGCAATGGATAAATGGATTTGCAGGACTAAAAATCGCTTGCAGTAGCTCTGCTACTAAATTTATTTAAAAATGGCTATCCCTGTACAGCTATGATCAGCTGTTCCTTCATCTTGGCTGAGCTTTCAATGTTGTTAC